TAGTTTATTAACCTTTTCTTGATAAAAGATAAACTGAGATCTTGTGCATATTTCTCTCTACTCAAAATCACAACATAATCAGCAACTATCATGCCTTAAATTTAACATTCAGACATACGGCCTTCTAAAAGTTTGGTAGACAGAACATGAGAATGTGAAGCGCTCAAGATTACTCAGCTCTCCCCGCTTATTCGTATTTACAACACATTCCCCAAGGGGAGGGAAATTCATTCTGCTGCATGGCTCAGCATGATTCACAAATTGCAGGCTAGCATTTTGAAATGTCATTTTTATTGATCTCCATTTGATGTTCCATTTGCCTTTCCTGGAGTACACAAATTATGTTTATGGCATTTCTCTAATAGCAGACTTTGAAAATCTCAGTTTAAATGAGATCTGAAAAAAAATAACCAAATATCAACGAAACAAAACTATTTGGATGCACATAAATTAATGCTGATTTTAGCATTTAAATATCTTCCCTGAGACTTCATAGGTCACAACAAGGGTGCAAACATACTATATAATAAACATAATAACACATTTCAGAGCATAAGAGGCAGCTAAAAACTATAAAACAAAGCAAATCTCAGGCAGGAAATGTAAATATGTCAACTGAACACATATGAAACATAAAGCATGATTCAAAGAGTGAGATTAGAAAAATGAAAATCAAATCCTATTCTGTAAACCTAGAAATCTGTGCAGCGCCACCAGTCCTGTAATAAAAATCAGCTACCAGGTCAATTTATCTTGCTAGCTACCGTAAGTCCTTACGAATGATTTTAAAAATAAATTAGTCAATGAAAAGCTATTGTAACCACACAAAAACATGAAAAATTTGCTTTATAGAATATGTACAATTTTTTTAAGAATCAGTACAAAGTTCAAATGCAGTTTAATATTTTCAAATATAATAGTTGTTTAATAAGCTAACTTATAAATGAGTTATACAAAATTAAATTATCCACATTAGAAAATAATTACACTCTCAAGCAATAGTACATCATCCTTAGGTCTATTCACACGTAAGAATGAACTGCTAGTCTCAAGCTGAAGACAAAGAGAATAGATTATTTACTATGCCTTTGATTTCAAAAAGCCAAAGTCATAATAGGACTCTTTATCTTAAGACACTGAATATTTTCAGAAGAATGACTGATTTCAAACTGCTCCATAGGAAGCATATAATAAAGCATAGGAACATTGATTACAAAGTGATACAGTGAAATCAATGATATTAAATTTCTACCCATCTTCCAAAACCTGCTCAGATGCCCTCTCCTTACTCTGTATTGATCACCTAAGCCACAAGTTACCCCTAAGACATCTGACTTCCAAAGCACTTAGCCTTTTCTACGAATACTGTGGATACTTAACGCACCTTACTTTATACTAAATTATCTTTATCTATATATCTCCACCCATTACTAGCATTTTAAATGTTATTTGAGCCTTCAATAAATACCTGCTGAATGAATGAATGAATGAGTGAATGACTGACTAGGTGGATAGATGGTTGTTTGGAGACTTCTGGCAACAAAATCCAAGGTAATGGGTCACAGATGGTTTAAGATATTGAAAAGCATTTTATTGAGACATGCTGGCAAGAATTAGCACTAGATAAAAGATGAAATTATGGCCCCCCCAAAAAATAACCTTTTGGAAATTCTTTAATAATTCTTATTTTACCCAGTTTTTATGTTCTAATTAATATAAAATATGAATTTCAATTTTTTATCAAAAAAACATACTCTGGTACTACAAAGATAAGAACAGTGGTTTAGGCCTGGCATGATGGCTCATGCCTATAATCCCAGCACTTTGGGAGGCCAAGATGGGCAGATCACCTGAGGTCAGGAGTCTGACACCAGCCTGGCCAACATGGTAAAACCTCGTCTCTACTAAAAATATAAAAATTAGCTGGGCATGGTGGCAGGTGCCTGTAATCCCAGCTACTCAGAGGCTTGAGACAGGAGAATCACTTGAACCCAGGAGGTAGAGGTGGCAGTGAGCCAAGATCGCGCCACTGCACTCTAGCCTGGGTGACAAGAGTGAAACTCTCTCTCAGGAAAAAAAAAAAAAAAAGAACAGTGGTTTAGCTGCAAACTAAAATTTTACTATGCATAGAAATAAGATCACTTAGATTTTCTTACAGAGTTTAATTAAATCACTAATATCCTTCTAATAGAAACATGCTTATCAGATAAAAGTGTTAAGGACAGAATACAAAACTATGTATACATTATGGCCACAAACAAACCTGGCATAGGAAAAGAAGCCAGAAGGAAATAATACAAAATGACCAAGGTGATGACTTCAAAGGGAGAAACTACGGGCCATGTGTTTCTACTTTCTCCATCTTCAATACTCTATTTTCTCTCAATAATCATTATGATAGATCTCTACATAAGTCCTTACCTTTTCTCTCCTTACATATCCTCAAATTAAATAGCTATGCATCATATATTACTATCTGCTTTTACATTTAAAAATAACCTTTTAGAATCAGGCATAAGATGAATCACAGCTTAGTACTTCTCATAGACTGAACGTGATAAAGTATAACTCCTACAAGCCTCAATTTTCTCATCTAAGTAAACCACCTCTGCAGGACTAAATAATATCTCATGTAAAACACCTAGCAGCACAGCGCCAACCTCACAGTAGCGCTCCATTTTCTTTTCTTTTCTTTTCTTTTTTTTTTTAAGACAGGGTCTCACTCTGTCACCTAGGCTGGAGTGTAGTAGCATGATCTTGGCTCACTGCAGCCTCTGCCTCCCAGGTTCAAGCGATTCTCCTGCATCAGCCTCCCAAGTAGCTGGGATTACAGGCGCCTGCCACTACGCCTGGCTATGTTTTGTAATTCTACTGGAGATGGGATTTCACCATGTTGGCTAGGCTGGTCTTGAACTCCTGACCTCAAGTGATCCACCCACCTCAGCCTCCCAAAATGCTGGGATTACAGGTGTGAGCCACCGCACCTGGCCTTGATTTTCTTTAATTCCCTTTTCAAGATGTTCTGGGTGATGACTGAATTCCCATACAGTAAATACACAGACATCTCTGATTAACCACTGTAGTTAAGGGGTAATCAAATTATCTTGAGAAATGCCTCCTGTATCAAAGGACTTTAAAATCTACTACTAAACAGCTCAGGAAAAATATAAATAGACCCCAGTACTCCTCTGTGCTTAGTCTAAATGAGGCCTCACAATCTTTCTGAACACAGCAGCCCAGGTAAAATGAAGGAGCTGCCATAAAAGTGAAAACCTATTTGTCATCAGTAACCTAGACAAGAGGCTTTTTAAGGAGCTTCTCCCAGCACATACTGTATAATGTCAGTGACACAGGTGAGAGACAAATTCTTTTCACAAGTTTGTTGAAAAATTAAATCTATGACTCTAATCCACCCAATAAAACATTTCAACAATGTAGATTTTAAAAAATAGATGTTTAGAGATTTTTCAAGTTTGGTTTAGTATTTCAAAAAAGAAACATCACAGCAAATCTTCATGACAATGGATCTGATAATGGATTCTGATCTGTACACCAAAAGCACAAGCAACAACAAAAAAATTGATAAACTGAACTTCATTGAAATTAAAAACTCTTGTGCTTCAAAGGACATCAAGAAGGTGAAAAAACAACCTACAGAATGGGAGAAAATATTTGCAAATCATATATTTGATAAGGGTGTAATATCCAGAACATATAAAGAACTCCTGTGACTCAACAACAAAAAGATAACCCAATTAAAAATGGAAAAAGGACTTGAATAGACATTTCTCCAAGATCATACATAAATAGCCAATAAGCACATGAAATGATGATTCACGTCATTAGTAATCTGGTAGAAAACAAAAATCAAAGCTGCAATGACATACCGCTTCACATACACTAGGATGGCTATAATCAGAAAAACAAGAAATAAAAAATGTTGGCAAGGATGCGGAGAAATTGGAACACGTATACCCTCCTGGTGGGAATGTAAAATGGTGCAGCCACTATGGAAAGCAGTTTGGTGTTTCCTGAAAAAACTAAACACAGAATTACTGACAATTCCACTCCTAGGTATATACCCAAAAGAATTGAAGACAGGATCCCAAACTGTATACCAATGTTCATTGAAGCATCATTCACAACAGCAAAAAAGTAGACACAGCCCAAGTGTCCATCAACAAATGAACAGATTTTTTAAATGTGGTATAGACAGACAATGGATATTATTCAGTTGTAAAAAGGAATACAGTTCTGATACATGCTACAACATGCATGAACCTTGAAGACATTATGCTACGTAAAATAAGCCAGACCCAAAAGGACAAATACTGTATAATCTCATTTATATGAGGTACACAGAACTGTCAGATTCATAGCAACAAAAATAGTTGGGCACAGTGGCTCATGCCCGTAACCCTTGCAGTTTGGGAGGCTGAGGTGGGCGGATCCCTTGAACCCAGCAGTTCTAGACCAGGAGTTCTGGGCAACATAGGAAGACCTTGTCTCTATGAAAAATAATAATAAATCAGCTGGGTGTGGTGGCGTGTGCCTTAAGTCCCAGCTACTCAGGAGGCTGAGGTGGAGGACTGCTTGAGCCCAGGAGGTTGAGGCTATAGTGAGTCATGACAGCACCACTGCACTTCAGCCTGGGCAACACAGAGTGAGACCCTGTCTCGAAAAAAACAACCACAAAAATAAATCAGAGGTTACCAAGGTTTGGGAGGAGTGGAATGAGGAGTTACAGCGTAATGGTGGCAGTTTCTGCTTGGAGTGATGAAAAAGTTTTGCAAATAGGGACGATGGTTACACAACACCATGAATGTACTTAATGTCACTGAATTGCATGCTTGAAAATGATTAAAATGGCAAATTTTATATTATATATATAACTACAATAAAAATAAATAAAAGAAAGTAAACTTAAAGGCACAGAAAAAGGCAACAACAAAGAAACATGACAGCTAAACTAATAAAGAAAAATGACACCGCATCAGTACCTTTCCACACACTGCCTTCGGGACAGGGGAGGCTGACATCTTCGGTTATGAGCTTCTCGGGCAGCAAGTCTAGCTCCTGACAACTGCAAGAGAGTACAAAACCCATTGAATAAACTGGGAAATCTCTATCATCCTAGAAGAACTGGCAACACATTCTGACATCAAGAAGCCAGAAATTCAACCAATTCAACAGGCATTCATTTTAGGGGAAAACAAAACAGTGAAAACTGGGTAAATTCTAGAGCAGCTTGAAGCAATATCCAGCATATTAAAGCACTGAGATTAACATATGTTCACTGTAGCATCATCCACAATAGCAAAAAGGTGGACACAAGCCAAGTATTCACCTTAATGGGTTTGCAGAAGAGTGGTATATGATACTGTTTTACCACAAACCTAACAAAACTGAAAATTCTCTCATCAAAGCTTTCAGAAACTTCAACTGGAGCCGAGTTCAAGAGAATACCAAGTTCATAACTATATCTCTAAATGTCTTCATTGGTCATCTAATAGCTGTATAAGGGATGTTCAATGCAAATGTTCAAAAAAAGTGTTTTTAACACTTTCTGGAATGATCATGATTTCTCTTTAGTGAGAAATCTATATTTGCCAACAGTGCTATCGACTGAATGCTTGTGCCCCCTAAAATTCGTATGTTGAAGCCTTAACCCCAATGTGATGGTATTTAAATGAGGGGCCTCTGGGAGGTAATTAGGTCAAGAGGGTAGAGCCCTCGTGAATGAGATTAGTGTCCTTCTAAGACAGACAGTACTTGCTTCCTCTCTCTGGGAAATGACGATATAATGAAAGGATGGTCCTCTGCAAATCAGGAAGAGGACAGGACCTACACCAGACACCAGATCTGCCAGCATCTTGATCCTGCACTTCCCAGTATCCAGAACTGTGAGAAACAGATGTCTGTCGTTTAAGCCACACAACCTATGGTACTTCTGTTATAGAAGCCCCAGCTAAGACACAGAAGATCAGTCACCCAATATTACCGCCTCAGAGTCTTATGGAGAATTAAGACTTTGAGACAGTAGTTTAAGGTATCAGTATGCAGAGTAAGCATGAACTGCAGTTTTCTGAACCAACAAACATAATATCTCCATCTCTCTTAAGAGATTTTCTTATATGTTCAGACCGCATACTTTTATTGGTTTACACATTCTCAACAAAGTTGTCACATACACCAAAAATAAAAAATAAATATCCAAAAAGTTGATATACCTTTTCATCTTCCCACTGAAAAAAATTACAGTCTTTTCTATCTCTACAGGCTGAACAGGCATAAAACCTCCGAGTTTCTTCTTTCCCTTGGGTCACCTTTACAAACAGAAGAGTGGGTCCTAGTTCCAGAATAGAAAAAAAAAACAAAAAGTGTCAACAGTCATCCGCGTCAAGTTCTTAGTTTTCACCGCCCTTAAATAAAAATTTGTTTGAGCTTTACGCACAATTTATCATAATTAAATCCATTTCTTTGGTTGGTTGTTTTTTGTTCTGTTTTCTTGACACAAGGTCTCCCTCTGTAGCCCAGTGGCAACATCATGGTTCACTGCGATCTCTGCCTCCTAGCCTCAAGGGATTCTCCCGCCTCAGCCTCCCGAGTAGCTGGGACTACAGCTGCGTGTCTCCAGCTGTTTTTATTTTTTGTAGAGACAGGGTATCACCATTTTTGCCTGGGCTAGTCTCAAACTCCTGGGCTCAAGCGATCTGCCCGCCTCGGCCTCCCAAAGTGCTGGGACTACAGGTGCACGCCACCATGCCGGCTTCTGTTTAATGAATGTTTCTTTTCTCTCTGTTACAACATTCCGGCAGTGACTACTCATAAATAATTTTTGGAAACAGGTCTCTCCAGAAAGAAAATGCTACTGTCAGTATAGCTGCTGTCTACGTTGTGAATGTTACAAACCTGAGACTAAAACAAGGAAGGGACTCAGAGAATTGAGGACTTTGACATCTCTTGAGCGTTTACCCTTGCAGCGAAAACCTGAGCTTTCAGTTGGACACGCCCACTTTCTGTAAGTTAGACAAAGTCTAGTTCGCAGGCAAGGATTACACTCTTTCTCCCTAATTTTTTATTTTTGAAGGGACAGCAAATCAACAAATGAAATCCCCAAGTACTTGTCAACGAGAACTATTCAATACCATGCATCCTTCTCTTTGCCTACCTTTCTGCCCCTTCCCCCCCAAAAAGAGATGAAATAGTCCTGGAGCCAAAACCACAAGAGTGGAGACTTGCTCTGAATGTTTCTCAAGTAAGTTGAAAAACACCACGTTCCGAGGAAGGACTATTTTCTAGACTGCACACTGGTGAGGGAAAAGAGGCTGATAAAAATACAGGAGCCCCAAAAGCCACTTCCAAGCCAATTCACACCCTCAGCGCCCGGCAGTTAGGCTGAGCCCAGACTCTGACCCACCGTGAGGGCACAGCGGGGCGGGGACGGCGGGATCCGAGGGAAGCACCACCTCCATTCCCGAGCTCCCCCGGCACCCTGCGCTGCCCTCTGCCTCCACGGCTTCAAACCCATCCCTGGGGGCCGCCATCTTCCCGCCGCCGTCCCGAAAGCCTAAGTACGAACCAAGAATGCTGAGAAAGAGCGCCCCCGCGACCCAAAGCGACCGACAGCGCCCCCAGGCGCTTAGGAGGAGCTGGGGCGGGGGCTGCCGCGGCGGAGGCCACGCCCCGAAACGCAGTCCCCGCTCACCTGGGGGCTGCACATAAGCGGCCCCTAGCGGTGGGGCTCGCAGGTCACTCGTGGGACCTGTGCCATGAGCTCAGCGCCTGAAAGCACCCTCTTTTCTTAAGAATATAGCCAGGAGGTGAGATGATTCGAACAAAGATTTAGTTGTATTGTAGGTCCAAAAGGCAGCATTACCACCTCTGCCAAATAGCTGAAATGGCTGCAGCAGCTGCGATTGATGGACCATTCTTTGTTTTTCAGAAACACAGTCACTGCATCATCCTCTGTAACTTTTGAACAACGCTGAAAGTTGCACATCATAATTGCACACTCACTGACACTTATACATTAGAAACAAAGAAAACCGTGCCGATTTGCAGATGACATGACTGTCTACATTTAAAAAATCCCAAAGAATCTATCAGGAAAACACCTCCGATTTAAACTGAGTTCAGCAAGGTTGCAGGATATGAGATAAACATACAAACATCAACTGGATTTCTAAATACTAGCAATGATCACAAGAACACTCAAAAATAGAATACCACTTACAATCATTCAAATGAAATGAGTGTAAATCTAACGAAATATGTACAGGGTTTTATGTATGCTAAAAACTCTAAAATGCTTGATTAAAAAAAATCAAGGCTGGGTGCAGTGGCTCACACCTGTAATCCCAGCACTTTGGGGGGCCAAGGTGGGAGGATTGCTTGAATCCAGGAGTTCGAAACCAGCCTGGGCAACAAAGCGAGACCATATCTCTAAAATAAATAAACAATTTTTAAAGTTTTTTAAAAATCAAAGAATAGCCGGGTGTGGTGGCTCACGCCTGTAATCCCAGCACTTTGTGAGGCTGAGGCAGGTGGATCACGAGGTCGAGATCGAGACTATCCTGGCTAACACGGTGAAATCCTGTCTTTACTAAAAATACAAAAACAAAAAAAGTAGCCGGGCATGGTGGGGGGCGTCTGTAGTCCCAGCTGCTCGGTAGGCTGAGGCAGGAGCGTGGCATGAACCTGGGAGGAAGAGCTTGCAGTGAGCCGAGATGGCGCCACTGCACTCCAGCCTGGGCGACAGAGCGAGACTCCGTCTCAAAAAAAAAAAAAAAAAAATCAAAGAATAACTAAACAAATGCAGAAACATGCTGCACTCATAAATCAGAAGACTCAACATAGTAAAGATATTGGTTCTCCCCAGGTTTAATGCATATACAGGTTTAGCACAATTGCTATGAAAATCCCAGCCAGATTTCTTTGTAGATTTAGACAATATTCTGAAATTTATATGGCAAGGTGAGGGAACTAAAATAGCTAAAACAATTTTGAAAAAGAATAATGAAGTGGGAGGAATCAATCTACTCAATTTCAAGTCTTATAGTGCAGTAATCAAGATGCATCCACATGTCTGTGATTGTAGACGAAATAGTCTCCTTATGTTATTTAAAGAACCATTGGGGCATGTGCCTAGTTAACATCACACATTGATGCTATGGCTTATTACTGTAAAAACATGGCTGTTTTTCTCTCACATTTCATGTAATGGTTTTACTCAAATTCTCCATCTGCACCAGTAGTATCTGTGTGTTTGATGTACCAGTGTCCCCTTTTTCAAGTTGTCCAGCACACTTTTTCAGTGTACATTATCTGCACATGTCTGGTCTTTTGAGATAGGCAATTTTCTACAGCTATGAGGATGATACTTTTGGACACTATCTCAAGACCTAACTAGCTGGGCACATGTTCTCAGGACCTCTTGAGACAGTGCCCCAGGCAGCATAAAAATTAAGAGACCTAACTACCTACTCACATGAACTCTAGCACTTTTATTTACAAATTTGTTTTAGATGTACAAATTTGTGATCTTAAAAGACTTGTTTATAAAATTTGCAACTGAATTTGTGAACTCATAAAACCAGAGTTACTGAGTCCATATTTCCTCTTTCTCTTTTAAATAATGCTGATTCTGTGAGGCAACCTCTCTAAACAGCCAAAACCAGTATGGATGTGCAGCCTTTACAGATAAGCTTCCCCAAACAGTAAAAATACAACAAAGGTTGATCCAAATAAGGTAAACGGGAAGGCACTGCGAAATGTGAGAGCTGCCGAAGGTTTCAAACATCAGGCCATTTTCTTAGCAGAGGGATAATTTTGGGGAGAAAAAAACTCACCTTATTTTCAGATATATATGGTAAATAGCCTGTGTTAAATATTACTGATGGGGTTATGAATATGACCAGTAAGTTATAAATGTTTCATTTAATTTCCTGATAGTGTTTTGAGTCTGTACAGGAAAATGCTTGAGTAGAAACATACCGAGAGATTCAGCAAGGTTCTCAAAGGAAGCCAAAGACATAACTGAAAATAGGTCCGTTGAGGCCTAAGCACCAGGAGAGACCTAGATTACACTTATCACACAGAGCGTGATCCTGGGCTGCTAAGATTGCTGGAACTCAGCTACTCTCCCAGCAGAGTGTCTGGTCAAAGTGGTGAGTTTTCTTTCTTTCTTTTGTTTTTGAGACAGAGTCTCACTCTGTCGCCCAGTCTGGAGTGCAGTGGATCAATATTGGCTCACTGCACCTCCTGGTTCAAGCAGTTCTCCTGCCTCAGCCTCCCAGGTAACTGGGATACAGGCATGTGCCACCAGTGCCTGGTTAAATCTTTTTTCTTTTTTTTTTTTTTGGTGTTTTTAGTAGAGATGGGCTTTCACTATGCTGGCCAGGCTGGTCTTGAACTCCTGACCTCGTGATCCACCCCCCTCGGCCTCCCAAAGTGCTGGGATTACAGGCGTCAGCCACTGCGCCCAGTCCAAACTGGTGAGCTTTCTAACAGGGCTGGTAGTCTCCTTCCTTGGCTTCATCAATAGAACAAATCAGTGTCTTTTGAAAATCTTCAATTCCCAAACCTCCTTCAGAGAAAATGGTGAAGCCAGAGGAGAGTTCTGTAGTGGAGCTCTGACCATCTTCTCTATCTTCTGGTAACAGGACTCCAGTTTTCCTTTGGGAAGCCAACCCTCCCGATTTTAGCCCATGTAGTTGTGAGAGGTGTAAAAAGTGGCAGGGACTGGCTTGGATTTGGGCAGGTGGCTTGCAGCTTCTGCTGGAATGGCTGAGAAAAAAGGTGTCTTGGTTACATGTTTTCATCTCCGTGGCATTCATGATGTTGATTCCTTATGTGTCCGAGGGGTTCAGCTCTCCAGTGTTACCTGGGCTGAGTCACACGTCTAGTGGTTGGCTCATCCAGGATCATCTTAACCCATTTATGCCTGAAGTTGCAATTTTGTGAATTTTTGCAATCAGACCTTGGCGATGACCTTGAGCATTAGGATATAAATAACTCCCACGTGCTTAGCGTTCCAATAATGCAACGCTAGTCAAACATGGGTTGGGGCTGGGATAACTCAGCTCTGCTCTGTGTATCTTTCCTCCTCTTCCTGGAACCACCAGGACAGCCTGGGCATATCTTTTTCATGGGGATGGCAGATGCACACGAGAACTAGCAGAAGCAGACAAGTTCTGTGAGGCCTGGGGTTGGAATTATACCACTCTCACTTCCATCTCATAGTTTTGGCTCAAGTAAGTCACATGGACCAAGCATTGCAAAGTTACATGACAAGGAATGTGATCAGGAAATGGTGAAGACTCAGGGTCCATAACACAATCGACCACATAAGCCTTCTTCACCAGGGCGACCAAGGAGCCAGTGGCAATATTCCCCACCCCTTGAGGAGCACCTGCCTTAGAAGGAAGCCAATAAGAAAAAAGCAGAACCGGGAGACAGGAAGGTCTGAGGACACCATGTGAACATCTAGATTCAGCCATGCCTGAAGTTTTCTTTTCTTTTTTCTTTCTTTCTTTTTTTTTTTGAGACAGAGTCTCACTCTTGTCTCCCAGGCTGGAGTGCAGTGGCACGATCTCCACTCACTGCAACCTCCGCCTCCTGGGTTCAAGCAATTCTCGGCCTCAGCCTCCCAAGTAGCTGGGATTACAGGCACCTGCCACCACACTAATTTTTTGTATTTTTGGTAGAGACGGGGTCTCGCCATGTTAGGCAGGCTGGTCTTGAACTCCTGACTTCAGGTGATCCGCCCGTCTCGGTCTCCCAAAGTGCTGAGATTACAGGCGTGAGCCACTGCACCCGACCAGCCTGAAGTTTTCAGTTACACAATTCATAAATTCCTCAGTGGCTCTTTAAGCCAGTTTGAGATGGGGTTGGTTCTATCACTCATAATCAAGAATGCTGATTAATGCTCTGTGGCTGCAGCCATAATATTGGATGTGTGTATCTGTCCTTGAAGTCCTTCTCCAGTCAAGATAAGGTTACTCTGACCTTCCTTCTCCCTGCCACTCTCCCTGTGGACCTGCCTGTTTCCAAGTGCCTCCATCTTTCCTCCCTCCATCCTCTCCAGCCTTTGTGGAGGAACGTGGACTCCTTGCTGCTTTTTGTCTTGCTGTCCCAAAGTAAGCTCTCACAACTGTTTTTTGTTGCTGTTGTTCTGTTTTAAGGGGAAAGCGATCAGGGAAGACCAGCAACAAGAATAAAACCTGCAGAGACCCTACCACAGCAGCCTCTGCTTTCCAGTTCTGGATCCCGGCACCCCTGCTGAGAGGGCCCCGCAATCCCCTTGACTTCATCTCTCTAATTTCCAAGAGTAAAGCTCACCAAACCTTTTTCCAGCCCTGAAAAGTCTCAACTGTGAAAACTTGGCTGGGAAAGGACTTGGATACAAAGGGACTCTGTGTAGCCTTCCTTGGATCTTTGAAAAACAGCGACAACACTGCTGAACCAAACACCCTGAAACTAAGGACGCTTTCTGATAAGCTATTGAGATTCACTGGTCATTTCTGCTGTGCTGGACAGGAGCCTCGATGGAACAGGCCTTTCAGAAGCCAATA